AAATGTTTTGACCCCTAAACCCCCATAAACCCCCATAACTAAACTCTAATAGAACATAATTAATCCAAACATAAATAATATAAAGAAAAAATAATTTTGAAAAAGTGGCATTTTTGTAAAAATTTCAAAAGTATGATATTTTTGTAAAGTGACACCTGAAAAATGGCATTTTTTGAAATTTCTCAAGCTGCTGAAGACACTTTTATAATGGCTTATCAGATTTTAAACTCCTAGAAAATTATTCTCGAAAATGACTATAGTTTCCAGGTTGAAGAGATATACGGACATAATAATAGTTCAAAAGAAAAAAATCAAAAATCTAATTAAAAGAAAAGGAAATGAAGTGGAGTGGTCCATGCTTTGGAACAAATTGGAAATGTAAAATAGACGAAACAAGAAAACAATTATTACACAACCACCATGGGAAAGACTTTCTCTTCCACAAATTTTCTTCGCAAAATGCAAACAATTTATATAAAATACATTTTTGTACTTGAAATAATAAAATAAGTTAACAAAAAAAATTGATAAAGATAAGAGCCTTATTTATTATGTAACAAGAGGAAGCTTTTAAGCTAGCCTTCTTATGTTTTTTTTTTTGCTTATACATTAATTCTTTATTTACAAAGATTGCTTATAATTATGTGCAAACCATTTGACACTTTTTTTACAGAAGCTCCCATTCAGATTCTTCTGATGATTGATTTTCCTCAATCGGTTTCGGATTATGGCCACATTCTCTTCCGTTTTCAACATCTTCTGCGTACCATTGACGCGCAAGCCGTTTGTATTCTTTTTCTCTGTTTTGCTTCATTCTTGAAGATATAGCGTCTCGGAAATTCTGCAGAAACAGTTTTAATTACAAGAGATTGTTACATTCCGCGTTACAATGAATCTAAGACATGAAACAAAGAAAAGAAGAGAAATAAGAAACCTTGTAAGGTTTGTGTTTGTCATTCTCCTTCTTGTCAGGATAAACACAATGAAACTCGTCTCTATCGACAAGTATACAGCTTTCCTCAACTGATCTTCCACTAAGCTGTTGGAGAATCTCTATCTTCTGCTGTGAGACAGAACTAGAACTAATTTCCTTCAAATTCTCATCGGTTTCCTTTGTGTAATCTGAATAGAAGAAACCATAAGCTAAGATTTAAGTGATTTAGGAAGTTAGTGCTTCAAACCATGAGCTATTTCTCCCTTTTGCATCACATTCTCAATGAAAGCAGCAAACAATGATAAGGAGTTGTAAGATCATTAAATTCCCAAATGATACGTAACCTATATATATTGTGTTGTGTTAATCCATATGATTGTACCAGTAGCCAGTTTAAGAATCCATAGTTCAAAAGAAACAATTAAGACATAAAGAAAAGCAAGAAAGCAAAAATTACCATCAGATCCTGCAGGCAAGCTAGTGGCAACAGAGGGTTGAATCTCTGAATCTTGATTTCTAACGGATTTAATCACGGTAAGACCTGATTCATTTTCGGTTCTAATCTCTGAATCTTGACTTCTGACAGATTTAACCGCCGTAAGACCTGATTCATTTATGGTTCCAATCTCTGAATCTCGACTTCTAACATAATTAACCACAGGAAGACCACGTTCATTTCCAGTTCTAATCTTTGAATCTTGACTTCTGACAGAGTTTACAACCGTAATACCGTGTTCATTTTCAGTTCTATTGTCTATCTGACATTCCTCTTTAGAGATGAGTCTTTCTACTTCACGTGGAACAGAATCACTTGAGCTTACAGTTCCGGCATCATTTTTGACACGAGTACTGTGAACCATTGATAAACTACTCGAGTCGTTCTGTATATAAGGCCTGGTGATTTGTAAAAGCTCCTCTTTTTTAAAGATTTGTTTACGACCGACTCTCGTTCTTCTATATGGACCTCCATAACTATATTGCCTTGGAGAAGTACAGATATCGTAATCATCTGCATCAAGACCACGTAAATTCATTGCACATCCATCTTTCTTCCCCTCAGTTACCTCTTGTTCTTGCTTCAAATTTCTGGTTTTTCCACTCACGCTCACTCTTTTCTTTTTGAAAGAACAAACAGGAGCGTATTCATGTAACATAGAAACAGGTAACGGTTTTCCCGAACCTACATCAGATTCATCGGGAAGCAAGTCTTGAACCACATCCGAACAGAATTTCTTGACAGAGTTACCAACCGTCTGAACTTGGTTCTCAACGTATTTTGCCGTGTCCTAAAAAACATAAAAGAACCAAACCAAGAGTCAAAACAACAGATTACAATCACCGTAGTAAAAGTACTTACACAACGATGCATACCTGCACGATAATTTCTTCAACCTCTAAGCACATTGCTTCAAACTTCTGGTATACATTCCCGACCCATCTTATACCTTTAAAATCCATTATCCCCTCTGAATCCAACAACGTTCTTGTGCGCGTTCTGCCACGGAAAAGAAAAGGAAATTCAGAGAGACAACAATAAGCATAAGTGGTATCGTACACACAACATCAATTCTTTAGTTAGAGAAACAGGATTGATTGCATAACAAAAAAAGACAGTTACTTGGACATTAATATAAACGAGATTAATCCAAGAAAACTTGGCTAATGCAACTTCTAAGTAAACCCTTTGCATAGGTATATCCACTAAATGATACGATATTTCCAAATCCTAGGAGTCTTTTAAAAGCTTTTCTTCTAAACAAAAACAAGTTCCTTAAGAGATAATATAACATAATCTTCTCTTGTAGTAGGAGGATCTTTTAACTACAGCAACAAGCTATCTCTCTGTATCACATGTTTCTATTGCTCTAGAGAAATTAAACACAGAAATATATGTCGAACCAACAAATACAATGTTTGAAAACTATCAACACTAAAGTTCTTCAATTAAAGAACATATAAAAAATAAAAATAAAACCTTCAACTTTTCTGGAAAATACCTAAAATTCAATAACAACTAGGTCTTCAATTAACAAAACAAAACTTTAACATATATGCAAAGTTTAAATTGAAGGTTTTAAGCTTATGAACAATATGTGAAAGAAAAATATGTGACATAAACCCTTTAACAAAAAAAATATATATATGTGACAAAAATCAACCCAATTCGAGAGAGAAGCATACAACTTTTGTTGAACTTCGCAACCAAAAAAACGTGGGAAAAGAGGAATTTTGGCGAGAGAGATGGGGGAAAAAAACGTGATCAAAGAAGAAGAACAATAACCCTAAAACTCGGAAACCCTCTTTTGCAATCAATCAATCAAAAAAAATTGAAAATTGAATAATTTAAGAATCACTAACCTCAAAGCAACGTACAAGGATCAAAACCCAAATTTCTGATTTTGAGTTTTTTGTGAGAGTTTTCGTG